TCCGGGTCCCCCCCAACCTCCCCACTCTTTCCGTCGCGTTGGTCTAAATCCTCAAGGCGAAGAGAAAGGAACCAGAGTGATGGACGGCTACCTGTGGCGTGGGTTCGTGACGTAAGGGGTAAACAAATCTTGAGGTCATGGGGCTTCCCCTGACCTGGATTCTATCTCTCCGTCACCGGCAGAATCGCTGATTAATGCCTACAGTTCAAAATAGTCATTTTGACTGACCGGAGTCTATGGTGGGTATGAACTATATGTGAATAGGCGGGTTCGGAGAACCCTCGCCTAATTTTAAGGGTTTTAACCTCAAACACAAGTCCCGAGAAAGTTAGTGGCCAAATGTCTTGTAATAAAAAGTCACTTGTATCCCTATTTGATCATATTAAAGTCTATTAAATGCGCATGTTTACTCACATTCACATCTTGGGCTCACATTTGTGAGTCGTTTTTGCAACTGTCTTTGTCTGATTTGATTTGATTTTCTACAGTTACTAAGTTTTCTTGTTTTTCCCCAGTATAGGTTTACAGTCTTATCTGACCTCTTCTCTGCTTTGTGGTGATCTCACCAAACAAGGGCTGAAATATGGAGCTAGGTCCGTCCTTGAGCAATCCGGTAGTTACCCCGAAAAATACAGATAAACCTGATCGCTTTGGCAGCATTAAAATGTTTTTAGCAAGGTAATTAACACTTTTAGTACAGAATATTTGTTCACGTTTGTATTCCTGTCCCACATACATTGCTGTGTTGTCAGTTGTGTGTGGCCAATGGTAGAGGGTGCAAAATTAGTTGCTTTGATCTTAATTGTGCAATAGCTAGGTAATATTTTATTTACTGAGTTATTTCATTTACAGTGTTATTACCGGAATCCTGTTTGAAAAGAACCCGTCTGGATGTATTCCCATCACCTATGCATACAATGTATTCCAGAGAAGTTATGAACATGTCTTTCCTATGGTCCGATTACCAGTACGAAGTGTGTTTGGTATGACTTTGCATGCTATCTTTCCACAGATAGTAAAATTCCAGTCAAAATCGTATCCTTTCATATTGAGTGTCATTTCATGTCATGAATATATTGTTCATTCAGAAAAATATTATGTTTTCTGTATTTGCTAGCTCCTCTCAGTCTTCTCAAATGCCTTCCTTCTTCCTGTTACATGAGGGTTAGGGTTGGTCGAATAAATATTTGCTGAATGACATCGTCTGCTTGCCCATGCAGTCTCTGCATTATTTAATACATTCATTATTTCCAACTTGTTGTTTATTTGTGAATGAGACCTTTAGTGGTGTAATGGTAAATTCAGTGTCTGGTTTTCTGCCTAGCCTTGATGAGGTGCTAATCTCAATTTTTCAAGCTGGTTGGTAAGTATTCTATTAATTGTGAAAAAAGTCAGCTGCCTTTTTAGCGTGTCCCGACTCTGCTTAGCTTTCAGTAACATTAAAATAAAATACTACACTACACTACACCTAACTCCTTAATCATGTCACTGGCATTACTCATCTCCCTAATCAGACAGAATTTCATCACTTTTGTTTCTAAGGTTACGGTGGAATCAAAACTTGTTTATTGTTCAAATACTCAATTGCTAATCTGTGTAGTTGAGAAAGAAACTAAAAAATTGAAGAGCTTAAAAACATAGCTACGTCTCCATGCTCAGACATATGCAATCATATGCTTCTTACATCAAGCTGAATATTTACCAGCAACAATTGTAGTTGAATAGCATTGTCTGTGACTGTCATCTTTATCTGAGTCATACCCCTTAACCATGATATAAGGACTCAATATTACAAAAGTATTGAATTAAGACCACAGAAACAACTGGAAGATTGGGGTATGAGTTTACTTGAAAAGCTACGAATTAAAATGGAGGAGTTCCATCAGAAGAACAGTGTGAAGAAGATGAATACTGATATTTTAAAACAGGTATGATTAGATGCAATTTATGTTGCAAACATTTCATGAAAAGATGCATCTAATTAATG